GCGGACGAGTCGGTCGCTCGCGTCGCGGCGGGGAGGGGGGAGGGGAGCGGTTCGGCACGCTGTCGCCGCGGCCTCGACTCCCGCTCGAGGCCACCGGGCGATGATGACCTGAACCGGACCTGGGCCTCGCCCGAGGTCGACTCGGCCTCGGGGAGACCCATCCGCAAACTCAGGGAGACAAAGGCGGCCGGGCGTGGTGCTCGCCGTGTGCCGTGCCGGGCCTTCACAGCAGCTGCCGCTCGCTGCCAGCACAAGCCCCGGCAGTCTGTTAAAGCGATATGGTGGAGGTGGGGGGGGTGGGGGTCTTTGTCTTTGGTGTCGTCGCCTGGAGGCGAGTTCGCAGCGGTACCCTTCACGCTGTTGATGTTGGTGCCCCGCTAACCCCCGGCCCCGTGGGTTCTCCCACCCAGTGGCGGCGCCGTTTGGCTTAAGCGAAGTAAGCGAAAGCCTGGGGTCCCCGAGTAGCTCACTGGGGCCCTGAATTCACGACAACAACAGAAAAGACGAGCTAACCAAATGTCGGCTCGATTTCAGATCCCCCTACAATGACACGAGAGCTCGTAATTCAAAACGATGGATTGTATTGCGGGGTTTAATGGTTCTAAGTCATGCCGTTTGTCCGTGTCACGTGACGCTCCCACAATTAATTTCTCCTGAGCCCCCCCCCCCCCCGCACTCCCCCCCCCCCCCCCGCAGTGGGCGGTTGCCATCACCACTGCTCCCACCTTTCCCCGAAAACATCTGGCCACCTGCTGCATGGAAGAGTAGGCCAAATACCCTCCAGCGCAGCGTTCTTCACTGATTTATTAATTTTTTTAGAGGGGTGCCGCTTTCGCTGATTTTACATCATTCGCGTGACGCCCGCCACGCATTCGAAACCATTGAGGGGTTTGACAGCAGCAGCAGCACGACGACGACGATGATGATGATGATGATCATGATGGGGGCTGTTTTCACATTTGTCTATTGTCGGGGTGGGGGGGGGGGGGTGGGGGGGGGGTGGGGGCGCACGTCAGGGGCCCGCACTCAAAGCCGCCAGGCGGGGGCATTGCAGTGAAGAACACCGCACTCGACCTCCCTCCAGTAGAGGCCCTGCCGCCAGCAGTGGCTTGAGCAGGAGAACGGCAGCCCTGCACCCTTGCCGCGGCCAGGCAGGGGCGGAGCCAGGATTTTCAGGCCGGGGTGACATTCGACAAATGTTAATTTCAAGAATGATTTAGAGAGGTCAGGCTGTTGAACTTAGACGCCATCGGTTTGGCGGACACGCTCTGACAATGCAGTTGCACGGAGTCCGCCAGACCGAGTGTCGTACACTTACACTCAGAATGTCGCCCCCCCCTGTCACCCCCCCACCCCCCCCGCTGGCTCCGGCCCCACGGCCATGTGCCGCGAGTTGGTGGCCCGCCGGCCGTAGACGGGCGCACCAAGACCTCGACTTGACGTCCCCGCACACCGCAGCGGTTGTTGTTGTTGTTGCTGCTGCTGCTGATATCTCAACCGCGGTGGGTTGAGACGGTCGTCGTCGTGGTCATTGACGGTGCGCGTCCCCCCCCCCCCCCACCTCGGGCGAGCCGCGCTTGTCTCTCTCTCTCTAAACCCACCCCCCACCCCCCACCACCCCCCCCCCCCCGCTTCCTTCCTCTCAGAGATAGAGAGCGGCGACGAGGCTGGCCTTCGCAATGTAGGTACTGTGCCGCGTGCCTGCGTCTCCCCCTTGAGTGGCGGCTCTCCCGCGCTTCCTCCTCTGCGTCAGGGTTCTTCAACTCGTTTTTTGGCGGCCCTGCGTGGTGGCCCACGTGGTGGCCCGCATGGTGGCCCGCGTGGTGGCCCTGCGTGGGGTCCACGTGGTGGCCCATGTGGTGGCCCACGTGGTGGCCCTGCGTGGTGGCCCACGTGGTGGCCCACATGGGGTCTACGTTGTGGCCTTGCGTGGTGGCCCATGTGGTGGCCCACGTGGTGGCCCTGCGTGGGGTCCACGTGGTGGCCCACATGGGGTCTACGTTGTGGCCTTGCGTGGTGGCCCACGTGGTGGCGCATGCGGTGGCCCACGTGGGGCCCAAGGGACCGGTTGAGCTGTCTCCCCCTCGGCGTGGTCCTGCGAGCTGCGGCCTTCTGAGGAGATCGTCGGCTGAGCGAGACACTTCCGTTTATCTTTTAGTACCCCGTGAGCCGAGAAGCTCTTAAATCAGGTTTCATCGGCGTCAAACAGGAGAGAGGCAGATGAGCGAGGCGTAGAGCATTGAGAGAGATCAACAACGGGGGGCTGGGGGGTGCGGGTCAGAGGTCGTCTTCTCTCACGCGGGATTTGAAAGGCATCGTTAGTTGTAACGTGACGTCAGTCAGCAGCCTTAACGAATGAACAGAGTTTATAGCGGGATGTTTGGAAAGCCGTTTCCACGTGGATTCCATTTGTGCCTCCTGCAAAACGCGCGCACTTTGGCGATCGACAGGCGATGTGAGCAACGGGTTGCCCTTCGCCGAAATCACACTTAGGCTGTGACCCCTTCAGTCTCCCATGTATGGAGGGAGGGCGGGAGGAGGTAGCCGCACCGGCCCGTACGGTGGTAGAGGTCAGAGATGAGAGCGAGAGCGAGAGCCGTCGATGAGAGATAAAAGATCGGTGAGATGGAGGCCTAGAGATGAGAGACCAGGAGAGAAATGAGGTCACGTGCACCATAGTTCCATTTATTTGGTATAGCCCTGTGAGCCATTCGGCTCGTGAATCGGGTGCAACCGCAACAAACAAAAAACAAAAACATGAACAAGAAAAACATCTTAAAGTGACTATGTGACTGTGCAGACAGAAAATCCATGAAAAAAAACAGCAAAATATTCCTGAAAAAAGCACCGTACACCAACGCTGTGTGCAAAAAATCCCAGTGGGATGCAAGTCAAACAACAACAACCACCAGACAACTAAGATTAAGGCCATCAGTCTAACTCCGTACTACAACAAACAAAAACATGGCCAAACCAAAAAACGTTTTAGAAATCAACAAAATAAAGCCATAAATGCAATGTAACAGTGATCACAGGGACTGTGACCGAATTTTTTACGGCATTCGCGACGTCGCAACGCGAAAGGCCGTAGCGTTTGACGCCCGCGGCGTTAACAACCCTCTCACCGTTCTGAGATTGCCGCAAGTTGCAGGGTTGGAGGGAGGGGGGGTCCCGTTCACCGCCGAATCTCGGAACGCGCGAGCGGCCATTATCCAGAGGGGCCGTAGGTGCGGTAGCGGCGTTGTTTCTGAGGACGTCGCTACTCAGCGCAGAGAATCGTAGCGACACGACCGCCGCCACTATGCGGCGGCCGACGCCAAGACTGTCCCACGCCGCCCTCCCGCACGCGCGTGGCCTTGCGTGGTGAGCCTCGGCACCGATCAAGTTGCTTTACTTTCGATGACGTGCATGCACGGACACGTAGGTGTACGTCGTCGGAAACTGGAAGGGGGGTTTAAGACGTCGCGTGGCATATATCACGTGACCCGCCCCGCCAGCGCGCGTGGCATATATCACGTGACCCGCCCCGCCAGCGCGCGTGGCGTGTGTCACGTGACCCGCCCCGCCAGCACACGCTTTTATTATTATTGTTGTTGCGTGGCCCGCCATAAAATATAATTGAAGAACCCTGCTCTTACCCATAACCGCTCACGCAGATGGGGGGGGAGTGGGGGTGGGGAGTGGGCTGCCCACTGGGCCACCGCTATTCTCTACTTGCAATCGCCCGATGGCGAGTCGGGTGACTTCCCCGACACGTGCCGAGACCGGTGTCGTCACACCGGTCATAGATACGCCGACTGGTCGGCCCCTGGTACCTGGGGGTACGCAGCACGCGCTGGGAAAGGAGTTTGGCTCCAACCGGTGTATTGTACCAGCCGCCTGCTCGAGTGTCCTTAGGGTTTAACGACATCGAACCCACGACCGCCCGTATACCATGCGAGGGAGATAACATCTCGCCCAGGCATTGGCGGCGAGGGAGAGGGCAAGCCTGGGAGAGAGCCGGGGACATTACTTCTCACATACGCTAAACCACGCATGCAGGTTGCCAACCCAACGCAGACCCCGGAACGTTAAGTGGCGAATTCTTTGTGGGATGTTCGCCCGGGACGGTAAATCTCAGCAGCGGCACGGCTCGTTTCCGTCCCCCCCCCCCCCCATCAACGGGGGGAGCACACACGGGGTGTTTGTGATTTAAAGTGGCTCCAGAAATCCGTCGTGCGATTGCAAACCCAGAGTGCTGCTCTCTTGCAGTTGTTCCACCCGTTGTTGTTGTTGTTGTTTGTTGTTGTTGTTGTTTCCGTAAATGTTGTGAGAATCTGTGCTGCGTTGTCGCCTGTTTAATCCCTAGGGACGTCACGTGGCCCACGCACGCGCGCGTGTCTCTCCCTCTCTCTCTCTCTGTCTGCGAGTGCGTCGCGTGCTCCGCTCAAATTCATTCACCCTTCGTCCGTCGCGCGCAGTCAAGCGAAGGACCGTTGCGCCGCCGCAACGCGTGGCCACTCTCTCATCACAGCTGCCGTACACCGGCGTCTCGCTAGTGGCGAGGGAGTTTTTGGGAGGGCCACCACAGGGAGGGTGGAGCCATTCCTTTGAGGGCCGCGGTCCCCCACTTCGTAAACGTCCACTGCAGTGCGCCGATCGTCGGCCTTTCTTCTCCACGGCGCAGCTCCGCCCGCGAGGGCCTCGCGTTGGATTCAACTCCCCCCCCAATTGCGTCCAACATCCCATTTTCCCAGTCGCAACAACCCTTGGGGCTCAGCCTCTTGTTTTCTCATCGCCTTGTCCAAGAATGTGCGTGTGCGTGTCACGTACGTTGAATTTATTTCACGCCATACGTAGCCAACCGTGCCAATCGGGGGTGTGCGCTCGGAGGGGGGGGGGGAGCGGGGAGGACGACAAACGAAACACAAAAAGGAGTCCGAAAGAAATGAGTTTTCAATTGAGATTATTTTAAAATGCATAGCTCCCAGCGGCATCCTAATATTGGAAGGAAGAGCAATCCAGACTGCCGCAGGAGCGCGTCTGAAAGCGCTGCGCAAATGCGGTGACCGCCGTCTTTGTCGTGCGAGCTCCATCGTTGAGAAAGTTGTCTTTCTGCTCAATTTTTTCTCGGTCGCATGCTCGGCGCATTTCCTGGCACGCCATTGGTATCGTGTCCAGACTTCGACAAATCCCATTTTGTGAACCCTGCGGGCCAGTGATGAACCCACGTGCTCGGCAGCGAGAGGGCCGGTGGCGGTCAGAATCAGAATGTTGATTTAGACCGGAGGAGTCCGATGAGCTATGCAGCTGTTTATTTCACAGATGTCCAGCAGAGATTGCCCAGTGCAGTGGGTCGGGTTGGCAGGGAACAGTGGTGCAGCGGTTGGCGCCGCCCCGCTTCGAAACTGGCGGCACGAGTTCGACTCCCGGCTCACGAGCAACATTGGCGACGGACACCTGAACCGGTCCCGTGGGCCTCCCTCCCCCTAAGGTCGACTCAGCCTTAAATGAGTGCCTGGTACAAGGCTGCTGGCCCCATGAGCCGCTGGCCGCGGGCACTCTTTTTGGGCCGCGTGGCCGACGTGACCTCTGCCCTCTTCCTCCGAAACAGCACGGCGGTGCCGAGCGGTCCTCGGGGGGGACCGCCGTCGCAGAAGTTTTCCTGCGAAACGCCCGCAGTCCCAGCGTGACGCTCGCGCCCTGACCCGCCGTTCAGTAACTAAAGCTAAATAACTATAATTAATTTTCTTCACTTGTTTGTATATTTTCTTTTACTTTCCTTACGACTTTTATCTTACCAGGTAAGGCCCACTAAGCTGCGTAGTTCTTTTTATGAGCGACCTGGCGATGGCAAATGATAGCTCAACGAAAGTGGGCTCGTCATCATGACGTGGGGAATTCACAGCAGCGGCCAAATACTCTGAAACGCGCGGTGTTGTTCATTCTAAATGCGGAGGGGAAAAAACCGGAGGACCCCGGACAAAATTCCGCGTGACCACAGGGAGAGAGATACACACACTCCAAATATACAGCAGACACCGTCGTGGTTCGAATCGAACCCGCTACCCCCTGCATACAAGGCGAGGGTGTTGACATCTCTCGCCACTGCGGCACCTCAATGGAAGAGCCCCGATACGACGCCGACCGCCGTCGGTGTCTTTCCAGGGTGACACTCGGGCCATGCGATGGCCTCCCGAGTAACGTCCATCGCGTACCTTGGAAATTTCCATCGGCTCCGTCAGTTATTCCCGTGTACCAATTCCCCGCTGTCAGATGTCTCGTAATTGTACCGATGGTCCCCCCCCACCGCACACTTAATTTTCTCGAGTCAATGGTTATTGTTGCTTTTTTGGAAAGGAGCCGGCAGAAGAAAATCTGGAATGTGGAGAAGGAAAGCGGGATGACTTTGACAATGACTAAACCGGCAACCCCAGAGGTGGTACAGGGTGGCCACAAAGTCCCTTTGCTTGATAAAAGGATATCGTTACTCTCTATTCGAACAATCCACCAATCACATATCAGATCCCCTCCCAATCCACCAATCACAGATCAGATCCCCTCCCCATCCATCAAAGATCAGATCCCCTCCCAATCCATCAATGACGGATCAGATCGCCGCCCAATCCATCAATGACAGATCAGATCGCCGCCCAATCCATCAACGACAGATCAGATCGCCGCCCAATCCACCAATCAGAGATCAGATCCCCTTCCAATCCACCAATCACAGATAAGATCCTCTCCTAATCCATCCATCAATCGTCCACTGAATTATGATTTGAATGATTCCAGAATTGCTCGGGCAGAATGTGGCCAAAGGATATCGGCATTTCATGCAAAAGGTGACTTTGTGGCAGCCCTGAAGATCACAGCGATGCAACAAACTGACTCCCCTCGTCCGCGATCAACGCATTCACACCCGCTACACCATTGTGCTCGCCCGGCCACTTTGTCACGTAAATGAACAATCGCACATTCACGAGGAGCTTTGTTTCCTCCCCGCCGTGCCTATTCGGTGCTAACGCCGGCACGGTGTGAGCCAATGAGGCGCAACGCTTTGCACCTGATTGGCTCGTGACGTGGTTTCTCGCCACTCGGCACGGTCTTGGGCCCTCTAGAGCCTATAAAATTCGATCACCGCTTTCTGCGGATGGACTCGATCCTTCCATTAGGGACGTGGAACTTCCACCGCTGGCTCAAGGCTACAGATGTGACGCGAGCCGCCGACCCATACCCGTCGTTTTGATTGGGAAATTGCCGTGACCGTGACTGTGGATAAGAGCGTAGGGTAAGCAGTGCATCGACCTACTGGCATTCCAGACCAACATTACCAAGCGGCACTTTGCTTCGGCGAGCGAACTCTGGATCGGTTTCGAGCTTCCGGGTCTCATCGGCGGAGCGAGGGCTCGTTGGGCAAACGCTGCCGGGGTTACGCAGACGTTGTTGCGCAAGCGCACTCCGCACGAACTGTGGCTTGCTTTTGACCCCCGTGCCAGGATTAACGTGCGTGCCTGCATTTTGTGTTTAACGCTTTGGCCCTTCTTTGTCAAGACGGATGTGGTGACGGCGATGGTGGTGATGGTGGTGATGATGGTGATGATGATGGTGATGAAACGAAAAATCCCGGGTCTCGGGCTCGTTCCCGGGGAAGTGGGATCCTTGCTGGGATCCGAGGTGGGGATCGGCGGTGGTGGTGGTGGTTATGGTGGCTCGCCTGGTGAAGTTTCGGGGGCGCTACGGTGGCTAGGAGATGTTAACTACCTCGCCTGGTATACAGGAGGTCGTGGGTTTGATCCCAACCCTGACGCCTGCTGTATATTTGGAGTTTGCATGTCTCTCTCTCTCATCATCATCACGGTGGCTAGGAGATGTTAACTACCTCGCCTGGTACACAGGAGGTCGTGGGTTCGATCCCAACCCTGACGCCTGCTGTATATTTGGAGTTTGCATGTCTCTCATCTCCCCGTGATCACGTGGATGTTTCTCCGGTTCCTCTGGTATTCCCCCTCGAACATTTAGAATCAACATCACACGTTTCGGGTATCTTTGCTGCTGCTATATTGTCCCTCGTGATGTCAAGCCACTTCGTTGAGCTATCATTTGTGGCCAGGTCGCTCCTGTGAAAGAGCTACATAGCTCGGTGAGGTTTTTTGTTTTTTTCACCCGGTAAATAAAATAAAACGTAGTTCCAAAAAATGACAGATTTTCGACACATCCGACGGTAAGCATTTTGAGGTTTCACAGGCGACAGGGGAAATAGGATCTCTGCGAGAAAAAGAATATCAACGTGGCGACCACGGCCCTCGTCGCCCAGTTACTCCCTTCATGTTTCGCCCACTTGCCCTCTGCTCTCCCCACCGTTGCCCTTGCATGCAGATGCCAGACGGCCTTTGGGCGCTTATCGGTCCGTTGCTTCTTGCGTACGGCGGTGAGGCTTGGGTGGTGGGAACTGAGGAATTCATTTTTTGTTTGTCGGTGGTGGTGGTGGCGATGAAGAGACTCGGCCACTCTCATTTAATGATTACACTACACACCAGGTACCCATTTTATTTGGCCGAGTCGACCACGGGAGGGAGGCCCAGGACCCGTAAAGATTATCGTCACTGGCGTTGGCCGTGAGCGGGAATCGAACTCGGGTCGCCGGGTTCGTAGCGCAGCGCTAACCGCATAACACCACCGCTCCCCACACTCACATAGACTCACACAGAGACCCATAGACTCACACAGAGACCCATAGACTCACACAGAGACCCATAGACGCACACAGAGACCCATAGACTCACACAGAGACCCATAGACTCACACAGAGACCCATAGACTCACACAGAGACCCATACACCCACACAGAGACCCATAGACTCACACAGAGATCCATAGACTCACACAGAGACCCATAGACTCACACAGAGACCCATAGACTCACTCAGAGACCCATAGACTCACACAGAGACCCATATACTCACACAGAGACCCATAGACTCAAACAGAGACCCATAGACTCAAACAGAGACCCATAGACTCAAACAGAGACCCATAGATTCACACAGAGACCCATAGACTCACACAGAGACCCATAGACTCGCGTAGCGGAGTGGGGACGTTCGGAGGAAGATACAAGCCGGAAAACAGTCACGAAGCCTCGGCTCCCTCATTGTGGAAATCGTTAGTAGGGTTCCTTACTTTGTAAAACCTTAAACAAAAGTGGCTCTCCATACAACTTGCCGCCGAGTCGTTACGCACATATAAACTCCCCGTTAATTGGTCCGATACATATATATACAGGATCGCAGAGCTCGGGCAGTTGTTGGGTAACGCCGGCTCACCGCCACCACGTTGCCTGCTGCCGAGGCCCGCTCCTCGTCAGTGCTGCCACCTCCTGGCGCACTCGATCTCTCGAGTCTGCTGAGGGTGGTCCCTTACTGCAGGCCGGAGGAGTTGAGCGATTGTCGTTGCCACGGGGAAGATGTTCTTCCTTATCGCGTGCTCCCAAAGGGACTTGTCGGGGATTTGTGCTACAACAACAACAGAAGAAGAAGAAGACGAAGCAGCAGCAATGTCCAACCACATCCGCAAGATTCACGGCATCGCAGGAGTCTCTGAGCGTTGTTGTCTGACATTTGGACTCGGCATACAAGGACAACAGAAACACGTGTACACTTTAAATATGGCAATGATTGCAAGGATGGCAATAATGATATTCTAAATAATAATAATGTGCTAACATTGATGAGTTAAAACGAATCCAAATTGCCACGGAAGCCACGCGTCTTGACACCCAGTGTTCTACAAAGACAAAGGTCCCCCGCGTATACCCTTACCAGACTGTTGGGGCAAGTGCCATTAGCGAGTAGATGTAAGTCAGCACCACGCCCAGCCGCCTTTGTCTCCCCAGCGGCAATGTTCACACACCGCACCAGGTACTCATTGAGGCGGAGTCGACCTAGGGGAGGCCCAGGACAGGTTCAGATAATCGTCACTGACCGTGAGCGGGAGTCCAACTCGGGTCGTCGGGTTCGTAGCGCAGCGCGCTAACCGCTCCACTACCGCTCCCCCCAAGTGTTCTACAATCACACACAGACGCTCATCACTCGCACGCTCACAACGATAAAGACAAAGATAAAGACAAAGATCCCCCCCCCCCTTCCCCGTATAGCCTTCAACAGACTGCTGGGGCAAGTTCTTATTGGTGGGGATGTGGGATGGCAGATGCTTGCTGGTGATGGCATGAGCTTCACTCGCTCTCTCTCTGTGCGAGACGGATGCATGCGGCGCGGGCATGGGGTAAGCGGCGGTGAGGTGAGGGTGAGCGGCGGTGAGGTGAGGGTGAGCAGGTGAGCGAGGGTGAGGCGTGGGAGTGACAACCCCGCCCCCCGCCGCCGCCGCCGCCGCCACCTCGCCCCGCTAACCCCGAGCGCGTGTGCGGTGTCGCCAGGCGAGACGAGGGAGGAGCGGCAGTTCCGCAACTGGATGAACTCCCTCGGGGTCATTCCCTTCGTCAACCACCTGTACAGGTGAGCCGCTGGGGTTCTTGGTCACCGTTTGGAACGCGCCAACGGTGCGACACCACGCGCGCGTGTGTGCGTGTGTATGTGTGTGTGTATGTATGTGTGTGTATGTGTGCGTGTGTGTGTGTGCGTGTGTATGTGTGTGTATGTGTGCGTGTGTATGTGTGCGTGTGTATGTGTGCGCGTGTGTGCGTGTGTATGTGTGCGCGTGTGTGCGTGTGTATGTGTGCGTGTGTGTGCGCGTGCGTGCGTGTATGTGTGCGTGCGTGAATGTGTGTGTGCGTGTGTGTGCGTGCGTGTATGTGTGTGCGTGCGTGTGTGTGCGTGCGTATGTGTGCGTGTGTGTATGTGTGTGTATGTGTGCGTGCGTATGTGTGTGCGATAGTGTAGCGGTCAGCGCGCTGGGCGATGAACCCGGCGACACGGGTTCGATTCCCGCTCACGGCCAAAACCAGTGACGATTATCTGAACCGGTCCTGGGCCTCCCCTAGGTCGACTCAACCTCAAATGAGTACCTGGTGCGGTGAGTAAACATCGCCACTAGGGAGACAAAGGCGGTCGGGCGTGGTGTTGGCCACCCCACCCCCTCGTATGCCGTGCCGGCCTTCAAAGGTGCTCGCTAACAGCACTTTCCCCTACAGTCTGTTAAGGCTATACGGGGGATCTTTGTTTTTGGTGTGTATGTGTGCGTGCGTGTGTGTGTGTGTGCGGGGAGCGGTGGCGCAGCGATTAGCGCGCTGCGCTTCGAGCCCGGCAACCCGGGTTTCATTCCCGCTCGCGACCAACACCCGGTGACGATTATCTAAACCGGTCCTGGGCCTCCCCTAGGTCGACTCAACCTCAAATGAGTACCTGGTGCGGTGTGTGAACAACATCGCCACTGGAGGTGGCGCCGGCCTTCGCAACAGCCAGCACTTTCCGCAACGGTTCGTTGAGGCCGCACGGGGGATCTTTGTCTTTGTTATGCCCCGCAGTGACCTCACGGACGCGCAGGTCATCTTCCAGCTGTACGAGAGGATCCAGGCGAAGGTGAACTGGGACAAGGTGAACAAGGCGCCGTACGCTAAGCTTAGTGCTCACATGAAGAAGGTGAGTCCCAGTGACGTCATCGCCACCCCCCCCATAACCCCTTCCCCCCCCCCACCAACATCAATACGCTTAAATAGTCCCCACTCCCCTTGGCCCTGCTTGGCCCCCGAGATTGAGGGTTAATAACTCGTGAGGTCACGGTCACGGCAAATAGCCGGCGGGAAACCGTCCCCGCCGCGTAGCGAGAGGGCGCCCTGTGCTGGCTCGGGTCGCGTGTGCCGGTGGAAAAAAAAGGGGGCCCTATTGTTTTTTTTAAATATAATACTTTTAGTAGAATTATTTTTTTTTATGATAAAAAAATATTTCAAATATATATTAATTCCTTTACTATTACACATTTTCACATCACTTTATTATACATACCATCATTTTCTCTTCTTTGTCTTTTGTCCGGAAGCTTGAGAACTGCAACTACGCGGTGATGTTGGGCAAGGATTCAGGCTTCTCCCTGGTTGGCATCGCGGGGCAGGACCTGTACGAAGGCAACCCCACCCTCACCCTGGCGCTCGTGTGGCAGATCATGAGACGGTGAGGCCGGCGCCCGGACGCGCGTTCTGTCGGCCTCCACGTGACGGGTCAGAACCAAGAGTCGGAAATTTGTTGCCTTAAAGGGGTGCTCGCGCCCACATGGCTTGCGAGGAACGAACGCATTTGTACACTCCGTCACGGGGTCCTTAAGGTCTTCCGTTCTCCAACTGCTCAGCGCTCCAGGTCTGGGTGGCGCTCTTATGGTGATCGGTACTTTCCTTAGCGCGGCACCACAAGCCGTGGAACGCCTTGCCACTTGAAATCGCTGCAATCGGGAGTCGGTAGATATGTTTAAGTCTGCTTTGGTTTTATTCGGTAAAGTCACGTGTTGTGGCCGAAACGTCGTGTTTTAATTGTTTTTTTTTACCTACGTGACTTTACCGAATAAAACCAAAGAGTATGAATTCTTGCAGTCGCGAAAGCTTCAAATCTAGAATATTTAAGTCTGCTTTTGCAAAGCCATCTCATTAAAGTCGCCCAGTTTGGTTGGTTGCCCCCTGGTTCTGGTTTCATTTCGCTGCTTTTCATACTTTGCGCATCGGCACCCTGGGATGGAATGCCGCATTATACACTTTGAATGATTATAACTGAAGGAATCCGATGAGCTATGAAGCTCGTCTTTTTCACAGACGTCCGGTAGGTTTCACAGATGTCCTGAGGGTTGCATACGAGCTAGGGATGTGTTCACGATGCTCACATTCATCCGTAAAAATGTGGCCTGGCAGCGGTGGCCATGCACGTGGGTCGGTAAGCCGGCTCTCTGCCGAGGCACGGGTGGGGGGGGGGGTTGGTGGATCGCGATCATTACGGTTGTTGACGCTGAAGCACTTTTAAAATAAATCTAAAAACTTACTTTTTCAAACTTGCTTTTAATTAGGATTTTTGGAATTTGTTATCTATATTATGTCTTTGCAAAAAAAATGTTACAACGTGATTTTATTTTGCCTGCAATTTCACTTTTATTGTTCGTCACTGTAAAGCACCATGCATTGCATTTTTTTGCACGAATAGTGCTACGTCGCAATCAAGTTTGATTGATTAAGTTGGCCGCGTGCGTGTCTCCAGGTACACGCTGATTGTTCTGGAGGACCTGGGTGATGGGCAGAAGGTGAACGACGAGATCATCATCGGCTGGGTGAACGAGAGCCTGGAGGAGGCCAGGAAGAAGTCTTTCATCTCCAGCTTCAAGGTGCGTCGCTAACGCTGCCATCACCATCTCTGGTGTCACCATCCCTGGTGTCACCATCGCTGGTGTCACCAGGGATGGTGACACTATCCCTGGTGTCACCATCCCTGCCGTCACCATCCCTGCTGTCACCATCGCTGGTGTCACCATCCCTGCCGTCACCATCCCTGCTGTCACCATCCCTGGTGTCACCATCGCTGGTGTCACCATCGCTGGTGTCACCATCCCTGCTGTCACCATCTTTCACACCGGTGTTCTTATTGCAAGGCCACCGCAGGCCCCTGACGTGCGCCACCCCCAACCCCCACCCCCCAACCCCCCCAACCCCCACCCCTCCACCCCCAACCCCCACCCCTCACCCCCCCACCCCCACCCTCCACCCCCCCAACCCCCCACCCCTCCACCCCCCCAACCCCCCACCCCTCCACCCCCCCAACCCCCCACCCCTCCACCCCACCAACCCCCCACCCTTCCCCCCCCCCACCCCCCAACCCCACCAACCCCCCAACCCCCCACACCTCCACCCTCCCAACCCCCCCAACCCCCCACCCCTCCACCCCCCAGCCCCCCACCCCCCAACCCCCCCAACCCCCTACCCCTCCACCCCCCCAACCCCCCACCCCTCCACCCCCCCAACCCCCCACCCCTCCACCCCACCAACCCCCCACCCTTCCCCCCCCCCACCCCCCAACCCCACCAACCCCCCAACCCCCCACACCTCCACCCCCCCAACCCCCCCAACCCCCCACCCCCCCCAACCCCCCCAACCCCCCACCCTCCACCCCCCCACCCCTCCACCCCCCCACCCCTCCACCCCCCCAACCCCCCACCCGCTGCGATGCGCTACGAACCCGGCGTCCCGAGTTCGATTCTCGCTCACGGCCACCACCGGTGGCGATTATCTGAACCGGTTTCTGGGGCTCCGCTAGGTCGACTCAGCCTCAAATGAGTGCCTGGGGCGGTGTGAAAACATCGCCACTGGGGAGACAAAGGCGGCCGGTCGGGCGTTGTTACTGGCCGGCCACCCCCTCGTGTGCCGTGCCGGCCTTCGTAGGCGCTACTCGCTAACAGCACTTGCCCCAACAGTCTGTTACAGGCTACACGGGAGGTGGGGGAGGGGGGAGCCTTTGTGTATCCGTGTCTCTCGGGTGGTGCATCTGTAACGTCATCTCAGACAGTTCACCCATATCACCCTGCGTCATCTCAGACAGTTCACCCATATCACCCTGCGTCATCTCAGACAGTTCACCCATATCACCCTGCGTCGTCTCAGACAGTTCACCCATATCACCCTGCGTCATCTCAGACAGTTCACCCATATCACCCTGCGTCGTCTCAGACAGTTCACCCATATCACCCTGCGTCGTCTCAGACAGTTCACCCATATCACCCTGCGCCGTCTCAGACAGTTCACCCATATCACCCAGCGTCATCTCAGACAGTTCACCCATATCACCCTGCGTCATCTCAGACAGTTCACCCATATCACCCTGCGTCATCTCAGACAGTTCACCCATATCACCCTGCGTCGTCTCAGACAGTTCACCCAAATCACCCTGCGTCATCTCAGACAGTTCACCCATATCACCCTGCGTCATCTCAGACAGTTCACCCATATCACCCTGCGTCATCTCAGACAGTTCACCCAAATCACCCTGCGTCGTCTCAGACAGTTCACCCATATCACCCTGCGTCGTCTCAGACAGTTCACCCATATCACCCTGCGTCGTCTCAGACAGTTCACCCATATCACCCTGCGTCGTCTCAGACAGTTCACCCATATCACCCTGCGTCATCTCAGACAGTTCACCCATATCACCCTGCGTCGTCTCAGACAGTTCACCCAAATCACCCTGCGTCGTCTCAGACAGTTCACCCATATCACCCTGCGTCATCTCAGACAGTTCACCCATATCACCCTGCATCATCTCAGATAGTTCACCCATATCACCCTGCGTCGTCTCAGACAGTTCACCCATATCACCCTGCGTCATCTCAGACAGTTCACCCATATCACCCTGCGTCGGTCACCTTCCGGCGAGCCTTCGACACTTCGCGTGACCCCAAGGCGCACCCCGTCCGGCGCGGGTGCCGTGGTGACAGTCTCTTCAAGGCGACACGTGGGGGTGATGTGGTGTGATTGTGGATCTTTGTCTTTTGCAGGACACCAGCATAAGCAGCAGCCATGCGGTGCTGGACCTCATCGACGCCATCCAGCCGGGCTCCATCAATTACGACATCATCAAGACCGGCTTTCTCGACCTCAAGGAGAAGCAGGACAATGCCAAGTGAGAGACCGCACTCCGTGCTTCCCGGGCCAGGCCAAGCGGTGTCCGCGAGATGTTAACTCCCTCGCCTGGTGCACAGGAGGTCGTGGCTTCGATCCCGACCCTGACGCCTGCTGCTGTATATTTGGTGTTTGCGTGTCACTCTCTCTCGTCATCATCATGGTGGCTAGGAGATGTTAACTCCCTCGCCTGGTGCACAGGAGGTCGTGGCTTCGATCCCGACCCTGACGCCTGCTGCTGCTGTGTGTTTGGTGTTTGCGTCTCTCTCTCCCCGTGGTCGCGTGGATTTTTCTCCAGGTCCTCCGGTTTTTCCGCCCCACATTTAGAAATCACCATCACGCGTTTAGAATATTTGGCTGCTGTACATTCCCACGTGATGATCCACTTCATTGGGCTATCGTTTGTGGCCAGGTCGCTTCTGAAAAAGAGCTACGTAGCTCGGTGGGCCATACCTGGTAAAATAGTTTTGTGCTGAACTAGTATACTACTAAAATAGTTGAAGCCAGGCCAATAATACTTTCTGAAAAGACGATTTAGACCGTCGGCCTTTCTGAGCAACGTGATACAGTTGCCCTGAAGCAAGCAAACTCTGGACAGCTTTCCACCTTCTGGGGTTCATCAGCGGTGTCAGGCCCATCAAACGAATACCGCCGGCTTACCTCATGCTTATTATGGAGGGGGCTGCAGGACAGGAAGTCTGTTTATATGTTTCATTTAATTCCCAGAATGCTCCACGGCAGCGCATTACGAATGATTATGAAGCGGAAAAGGTGCAGCCCTGCAATTCCTTGCCCACGCCACTGCTGGTAGAAGGGCATCCACTAGAGAGGGGGCTCTCGAGAGCTCCCTCTCTAGTGGAGGGTGGTTTGGCCTACTCTTCCACAATCCCCAGTGTCTTGCAAGAGGGTGGCTCTCATAGGTTGGTACCGTAATCGAAGGTGTGGTGCAGGGACAACGAAACGAACGCAACAAAAAAAAAAAACCACTTCTAAAGAAATGAGAAAACGAGTGCTCAATCGAGACGACGATTCAAACGTACACAGCCCCAGCGGCATCCAAATATCGGAAGGGAGAGCGTTCCAGACGGCCGCGGGAGCGGCCGCCGCCGCCTGAGCTCGATGGCCGAGCCGAAGGCCGCGGCGGCCGCGGGGGTGGCCGGGGTTCACGTGGCGATGGTTTATGCTCTCTGACGAGATCGGCGACGCGCGTTCCGCCAGCCAGCGACTTGCGCACCCTGACGGGGCCCCCGGTTGCCCAGGGCTGACTGCATCGTCGTTGCGTTGGGTGCAGCGGCCATGAGTGTTGGGGTTGGTTTTTTTTTCTGTTCATTTTATCATTATGCCACGTAATAAAGGGTGCTTTAGAAAATGTCTAACGCTTAAATGGGAGTATCGTTTTGAATGGAAAAAGAACGGGATAATACGCCGTGACATGACAACAAGTGTAATGTTCGTAGCTTCAGGAAGTCGACAGAGTCTCTCCACTTGTTCGCCATCGCTGTTGACGCGTGGCCTCGGATCTTCTCCAGGCGGCCTCCAGAGCCCGGCGGAGGCGGCGGCAGCACGTGTCACGTGGTGTTGTTGCAAATTCTCACAAGTGTTCAAAAAATGTTGAAGCACCCTGTATTTTTTTCTTCTTTGGTTCTTTCGGTAAAGTCACGTAGAATGAGAATAAAATAATAAATTGATAAAATAAAATAACACAATAATATTCTCACGACGTTTCGGCCACAACACAAGCGGCCTTCATCAGGTGAAGGGACGAGACTGTCTGGTAGGACAGCGCTGGAGTGAAAGAGCCACGTTCAGATCACGGCCTTTAAGCTGTGTGAGAGGAAACAAAGCGCCTTGGCAAAGGAATTAGCATATCATTTAGCATTGAAAAGGCTGAATGATTAGCTTGTGACTGGTCACAGAAATAGCTATGTTAAAAGTTAAAGCATACACATCCGCAGAGGCACCCCTTGATAAAGGAATTAGCATAGAATTTAGCATTGAAATAGCTGAGTGATTAGCTTGTAACTGCTCACAGAAATAGCTACGTTAAAGTCAGAGCATACACATACACCGAGGCACTTAGTACAAATCAAACAGGAGAATTTAGCATTGAAATAACTTGGCGAAATTCACCCTGTATTTATTCTACACAATTCGACGCGACCACCGGCACAAAACGCCGATCACAGAACGGAAGAGGCGGGGGGGTGGGGGGAGAGTGGGAACAGAAACTCCCACAATAATTTTTAACCCCGACCGTGGCCCCACCTCCCCCTCTTCTCTCTCCTTCCTCTCCCTCCTCTCTCCTCTCCCTCCCTCGTCGCCGACAGGTACGCCATCTCGATGGCGAGGAAGATCGGCGCGCGTGTCTACGCGCTGCCCGACGACCTCGTCGAGGTGAAGCCGCGCATGGTCATGACCGTGTTCGCGTGTCTGATGGGGCGCGGCATGAAGCGCGTCAAGTGAAGTGGGGTGGCGGGAGGGATGGTGGAAGGGGGGGGGGGAGTTGTGGGGGGTCCCGGCGGCTGTGACCGCCGCAGCCGCCGCCGCAGCATAGCCAAACCTAAAAAAATAAGTCGGAAACAGTTATCTCGGGGGGGGGGGGGACGTCACAACGTCGCGCGTCACAACGTCGCGCGTCACAACGTCGCGCGTCACAACGTCGCGCGTCACAACGTCGCGCGTCACAACGTCGCGCGTCACAACGTCGCGCGTCACAACGTCGCGCGTCACGTGTTTTTTTTTGTTCCTTAAATGGCCTTCCCCGGGTGGCAGCGGGGGAAGGGAGGGGAGAGAGGGGGGGGGAGTGGGGGGGGGTTCTAATGCTAACGGGACCCCAACCGACCATGAACCAGCGCCGTTGAGATCCATCGAATGGCGGGTTTGGCGAGGTCGACCGCATCCTGGCTTCGCGGTCCCAGCTCGGCCCCCCCGACAGCAGCAGCCGCCGCCGCCGCCGCCGATGCCTGCGAGCGAAGCGCCCCCCAAGCTGTGGACCTGCACCGAGTCCGGGGCCCCTTCCGAAGGCTTTTCTCTAGCGACGGTGCGCAAAGAAGAACGTCCCTCGCCGTGGCTCCCGTCACGGTGCCGGGGGGTGTCGCGGAGAACTCCGCGACACCGTCCCGGCCGGCTTCCGCTTCCCCCGGTGCGACGTTCGGATCTCTTGCCCAGCGACACATCCAGGGGCGGAGCCGAGGGCGACATTCTGCGTGTAAGTGTACGACACTCGGTCTGGCGGACTCCGTGCAACTGCATTGTCAGAGCGTGTCCGCCAAACCGATGGCGTCTAAGTTCAACAGCCTGACCTCTCTAAATCATTCTTGAAATTAAAATTTGTTGAATGTCACCACGGCCTGAAATCCTGGCTCCGCCCCTGGACGCATCTGTGATTATTAATGAAGTAACACGCAAACAAAGTTGTTGTTGTTGTTGTTATGAGTTGCTCCGCGCGTCGCTATTTTCTTGAAATCGGTTGAAGAAACAACCACAAAAAAAATTGCCCTAAACTTTTTCAGATCAGGCAATCGTAAGCCCACAAATGTTGCCGTGAGTTTATTCGCCAACACACAACCGGTGTGCTGAACTAGTATACGACACTATACACTACACTATATACTACTATACTATAATTGTAAATGTTGTCGTGGGTTTACTCTCAAACACACAACCGGTGTGCTGAACTAGTATAATACATTATACATGACACTATACGCTACTATACACTACTATACACCACACTATGATACACTGTGATACACTACACTATAATTTTAAATGTTGTAGTGGGTTTACTCTCCAACACGCAACCGGTGTGTGCTGCACTCGTAACCAATTCGCTACATTTTGCGTCTACGTGACAAGCCACACCGATTGGCCGTGTCGGGTGGTGGCCGGGTTTAACGACACATTTATACTCACTCGATCTAACACCAAAAACCTCTATCATGAAACCCACACTCATAAAATATATATATTTAAGCGCGTGCAATAATTTAACCACGACAAAATTGACACGCAGGAGGCTTTCGCGACAAATATCACCGGTAATGCAGGGGTTTTTTTTTTGTTTGGGGTAAGATCGCGTAAACATATAAACGTGTTAGGTCGCGTAGATACGCACACGTGTGCTTGGCTGTGTCGGGTGGTGGCGGGTTTTAACGACGTTTTCGCATATTTACGCGATCCAATCCAACAACAACAACAAAAAAAACCCCTCCCTGCATTATGCATTACAAAATCAACTTTCCCCGTGGCGGGGAAAGACGCCGCCCTCCGTCGCAGCCTCGAAGTCGCGTGCGAGCCGCTAAATTTTATTTGCAATCGGAGTGAAAGTCTCTTCGGCTTCGTGTTGCTTTTGGAAAATCTCGCCGGCCCCCCCCCCCCGCACGCGCGTCTAGGTGGGGCTGACCGCGTGGGGCATTTCGCGGCACATTCCACGGAAACGGCTGTCTGTCACTGTGCTGCTTTTCTTTTCTTACGTGAATTACGATAAAAAAGGAAATGCTTTAAAGAAATAGGATAATATTTTGGGCGTGACATCTGTGTGATTCTCCAGAGCTCCCTCTGGCTCCTCCCGCCAGCAGTGATTAAAAACGAATTTCATTAGAACCTGCTCTTTGTGTTTAGTTTGTTCTCCTTCGCCGCCCGCCCCCCTCCCCTCCCCCTCACCGGCACCTCCAATTAGCACGGTTGGCTACGTACGGTGCGAAAGAAGTTCAACATGCAGTACACGCAACATACATACAACACACATACATAGCGGTGTGAGCCGGCAATTGCAGGGCTGCGCCTTAATCTTTTATGAAAATCACTTTTTTGTTGAGGATAACTTTTCAGCGTAGGAGGTGGCGGGGCGACTCCGGAGGGAGGAATCTCAGAGGGGCTGAGCCGACAACCGCGCTGAGGTCTTCAGTTTTTTGATCCAGCCACGGCCTGCCCCCAGCCCCCTCCCTCAGTGGGCTCTGGCCCCCTAACCCCTGGTCAACGGTTATTGTAGTCGTGGGTCGTACACCTGTCACTCAACAGCCCCCTTGGCTGTTCTGCGCCCCCTACGCACTGAGGACGCCACTAGAGGTGAGTGTACGTGACCCATACAATACTGCTATGCAGGTAAGTACACATGTTGCGCGTAACAATGCCGCTACATCGCCCCTCCTCTCGTAGCACACGGCCGTCTCGGCTGGAACAAATCTCAATAACAAGGTAACAGTAACAAACATACACAAAATAAATAAAAAATGCTGCCTTTGAACAAGAACGCAAAAGCCGGTGAATCACCCCGATTAAATACCCTAACCCAACACAAATACCCTAACCCAACACAAATACCGTAACCCAACACAAATACCCTAACCCAACACAAATACCCTAACCCAACACAAATACCCTAACCCAACACAAAAAAAAATGTAGAGTACAGTGGTACCTCAGTATACGTCGTTAATTCGTTCCAGAAGGTAGGAGAAGGTAGGAGAACTTATACCGAAGATGATGAATACCAAACGAATTTTGCCAATAAGAAATCAAGGGAAAGGAAATAATCCGTTACAGAGTATAAGAAATTATATTTTATATGGCAAATTATACATTGATGTGGTTGTATAACATAACGTAGAGACTACTTATTATTACTAAAATGCATACATACGTTAAAATAAAAACACGTGAACATTCACAGAGAGTTACGGCAAGGGTGGTGCACTGAACGAGATCTACAGGCGGACTGAGGAGCGGCGCTTTGTCTCAGTCGTGAACGGGGTCTAGGCGGGGACGCGGCAACTGTGGTGCCGCCGCAGCGGAGCAGCTCCGTCGGGGGCCGTACCCACCGCCGTGGCACCGCCACCGGGGAGTAACGACGCCGCCGCTGCGCGCCCTCACCGCCCCCCCCCCCCCACCGCATGAATACACGCACACCCTACACACGCATGCCCCACATAGGTCCCGCGGGGTGGGTCACCTGGCCAACAGGTTTTCGTCCAGAAGCCCCTAATGGGATCGAGCTTCATGGTTTCCTGCGGCCGGGGAATTGGGCGACCTACCCCCGAGGCTGACCAGCACCGCGGCGCCGTGGCCTGATATTATAATTACATAGTCACGGCAGGGGGCTGTAAAGCCACCGCGGATGAGATCACACACACACGGCACGGGGCGTGGGAATGGCGGTACGCCTTTGTGATAGGTAAAATTAGGGACCCCAATCACAACGGGACAGGGGCATTCCGACATTTGAATGGACAGGGCAGCACGGGTACGGAAGCATCTGAATACCTTTTTGTTATAGGTAAAATTATAGACCCGAATGTGAAAGGGACGAGAATAACTCGGCCTCCGATTGGGCAAAGAGCACCACAGATAGGGTGGATAAAATACGGAGGCTTAGGGTAGCACGAGAGTTCTTCTTCCAGTCATCGAGGTCCACGGAGCAGGAGAGTCAGCCGTTCGAGACGTCCGTGTGACGAGCTTCAGCGCAGCCAGGCTCAACCCTCTACGGAGACGACCCACAGCCTCGTCCCTCTACAGCGTTCAGCGCAGCAGAGTGGAAGTAAGCACGAGTGAGAGAGAAGTGAGTTTGAGTGATGTAATCGAGAGTGGAGAGCGGAGCGACAGGCAGGATAAATGGAGCCTAGGATTCCCGAAGGATAGGCTGGGAGAGCCTGCTGAATCACACAATGGCGCGTAGTTTAACAGGTTTCTCGCAGTAAATTAAATAACGAGTAGGGGGATAAACTTTGTCGTGTGGTCTTTGGGAGCGTGAAGAGGAGGGTAGAGCGTGCTTGGTGTTCGCGCACCTGTACGATTGTTTACAGTGGTGTTCAGCGCGCGCGCCTACGCGACTGCTTTCGGTGGTGTTCAGCGCTCGCGTACCTGTGCGATTGCCTACAGTAGTGCTTAGCGCTCGCGTGCCTGTGTGACGGTGTTGCGGTCGCGCGCCTGCACGATTGTCTAATAGCGAGGTAGCGAGCTAAGCGCCTGGGGTGCGCGTATTCGCGCGGCTGTTTAAACGGCCCTTTAAATCGGAGCGCAGTGACCCCCTCCAATCCGCAGCACGCGCACGGCAGACGCCTCTGGCCTCCCACCCCCGACCCCCCACTACCTCGCGTGTGATTGGTGCACGGGGCTCGGCAGGTGGTAGCGTCGTGGTTGTTATTGCCCGAGCGCGTGGAGCGTGTGCGTGAGGGAATCACGCGTCGGCGCGCCACACCTGTTTGTTCACGTGCGGGACGGGGTTTTACTTTGCGAGCGCGCTCACCGCGGCACGCCGCCACTGAACAGCGTAGCGCGTCGTAGGCGTAGAGCAGGCGGCCGCATCGAGTGAAACATGCTTACGCGGTCGACAACACAGTCGGGGGCACAGGGGGGCGAGGGGTTGGGGGTCAGTAGCCCGGACCCCACGGAGCAGCCGGGGGGTAGTGGGACAAACGTAGCGGGGGAGTCGGGAGACAACGGCCCCGACAATTCAGTGATGGCGGGGGAAGGTAGCCCCCC